TCCAACTCCTGGGCTCAAGCGATCCTCCTGCCTCAGCCTCCCGAGTAGCTGGGACTGCAGGCATGCGCCACCATGCCTGGCTAATTTTTGTATTTTTTGTAGAGACAGGGTCTCACTCTTGCTCAGGCTGGTCTGGAACTCCTGGCCTCAAGGATCCTCCCGCCTCGGCCTCCCAGAGTGCTAGGATTACAGGCGTGATCTCGCTCTACTTTCTCCTCTGTCGCTCTTTCCCTTTTCTTGCTCTTTCTTGTTTCTCCGCTTCTCTTGCTCTCTCCTTCCCTCGCTCTGTCCTGTCTCTTCTCCCTGCTCTCAGCTTCTCTGGCCTTCATCCCCTCCTGTCCTCCTTCCTCTTCCCCTCCTTCGCCTCCCTCCCTCCCTGCTTTCCATCCTCTGTCCCATGGCCTCTCCCTCCTGATTCTCTCCCCTGGCCTCACTCTCTCCTCTTTCTCTTCCCTGGCTGGAGCCCCCCCCCCTTCCTGGCCTGTTTGCCACCTGAGCCCCGCTCCCCAGCCAAGGCTCTGGGTCTCTCCTATTTCTCCTTCCTGTCCCTTTTCCCACTCGCTCCTCCTTCTTTTCCTTCCGTTTCTGACTCCCCCGAGTCCCTTCCTCCTCCCTCTCTCCTCCCTTTCTCCCTTCTCTGGCACCTCTCCCTCCTTTCTCAAGGTCCCCTCCTCCCCGCCCCCCTGCCGTGTGGTCCTTTCTCTCCCGTGGCCTTGCACTCTCTCCCTTGCATTTCGAATTTTGAATTTCCACCTTTTCTCTCTTCCTCCTCTCTCCTTTCAATGTCTCTTCCCATCTCCCTCTTCCTTCCCCCTCTCTCCCTTCCATCTCCCTTCTCTCTTCCTTCTCTCTCTGGTCTCTCCTCTTTCCTTTCTCCTCTGAACCTGTCTCCTTCTCTCCCCCACCCCCCTTCCTCTTCCCTGAGTCCCACTGGCCTCCTGCCCTCTTCTCAGGGAGGCCCCTGCACCCTGGCCCTGAGGCTCCTCGCCTGCCCTAGGTGCTCTGAGGCTTCCAGGTCCTGACCAGGAGGCCAGCCCAGAGCAGAGCCACTGAGCCAGAGGCCCGGGTGTGGAGGGACCTCTGTGACACCCCTTTTCTCTCTTTTCTGTTTGTCCTGGACTCTGGACACTGCTTGGAGGAGTCAGGCCTGCCCAGGCCCAGGAAGGAGGAACAAGGAACAGAGACAGGAAGCACGTTGCCTAAAGACACACAGCATGTAAGTGGCAGGGCCAGGACCGGGTGGGCTCCCCTGGGGTTGCAGGAACTGGCTCCTGGACTCTGAGCTTGGTGAGAAGGGGATGAGGACTTTCTGCTCTGTGCTCCTCCCCAACCCTCCACCATCTTCTCTTCCTCAAGCAGCTTGGAACACCTCCGTGCTGGGAGGACCTCACAGATGAGAACGTCGGCACCCACTGTTTCTGAAAACCAGCCACTGCTAGGCTTCCAGGGAACCGACCTTGCCTGAAGGACCAACAGTGCCCCCTGCAGGGCACTTCTCTCCATTGAGAGCAGCCACAGGGATCTGCCGGAGGCATTCTGAGTGCGTGGGGTTCTCTATCGCCACCAACTGGCACCGGGTGGAACTGCAACCAAGCTGTATTAGACACTGAGAATGGTCCCAACAAAATGAACAATGACTTGAATGCCTGGGGCAGGGACAGGGGCTTTGGGGTGGGGATAGGGGAGGGGGAGAATGCAAATTCTGTAAAAATGAAAATTTTACTCCTAATAAATATATAAACATCATACCCAGCTAACTTCTTGGTATGCCAATTTAAACCTCTGAACTGTTCAAGTCATTCTAATGGTGAATTCTCTCCTGTATTCCCATGGAAATGCAAGTGGGACTTCATTAAGAGAGACAAAAGAAATGGGATTTGGTTTACACAAGCTTGGTTGGGAGACTGCATTTCCAGGAATTGGGCCAAATTGTGTTTGTTTCCTTTATAGCAACATTGCTGCGCTTTGCTCATTGGCAGGTGGGTGGAAGCAAAGGTGGATGGACAGCTAAAGAGGTCTCAATAATTAGCCCCTGCTCCTCTCCACGGTGTCTCTCTGACAGGTTAAATAAACAAGCATGTGGAATTGTTTCCAGAAGCCACAATTTGGGCATAGTAAAAAATTACAAAACTCTAAATACAGTCTTCTGTATTTTAAAAGATTGCTTGCCATACAACTATGTGCTGAGAACACCTAAATGCCAATATGAAACCCCAGGCTGGGAAGGGGGAAGCTTTCTCAATGCCAGGGAGCAAGTGACATTTTGTGGGGCAAAGAAGGTCATCCAAGGGGTGTGCGCGGACAGGGGGAGCAATCCCTTTGCTGGGCATTTACCTTGCAGCTGCTGTCACATCTTAGACCAGAAGTCACGTGACTGGGGTGAGCATCCAGGAGGGAGAGAATACAGGCTGAGCTGGGGTCAGGACAGTGGCAACAGAGAGGGAACATGGCAGAAAGTGGGCACTGGGGGGGCCATGGGAGGGCTGTGAGCAGGGGAGCAGTGGGGTCAGCTCTGGTGTCAGAAAGCCCCCCGTGAAGGGGAGGGGACTGGAGGGGGATGCTGGAGGCTGGGAGGCCAAGGAGGAGGCTGATGGTCCCGGTGGGAGAGGATGAGGCTGGAGCTGGGGCTGAGACCATGGGGACAGAGGTGAAGGGATGAGGCCAAGAACTTTAGGAGCAGGGATGGTGGTTTGTTGGGGGACAGGACTGCAGCAAGGCAGCACTGTGGTCTGTGAGGTTGGGCAGGTGGTGGCAGCACTCACTGGGACAAGGATCCCTGGAGGAGCACCCAACCCAGGTAGGTGGGAGGCACTGACATTTTCAGTGGTCCCTGAGGCATCCTGGAAAGGAGCCCAGGAGGCAGATGGGGCCCTGGGTCTGCAGAGCAGGTGGGGATTGGAGCTAGAGATGGATTTGGGTACTGCTGGTGAAGAGGGGCTGTTTGGAACCTCCCGTGCAGAGAGGGGGTGGCTGAGACCTGGAGTAGCAATGGGGCAGCATGCATCAAAATCACACATATACCTTTTTTTTTTTTTTTCCTGAGACAGACTCTTGCTCTGTCACCCAGGCTAGAGTGCCGTGGTGTCAGCCTAGCTCACAGCAACCCCTGGGCTCAAGTGATCCTCCGGCCTCAGCCTCACCAAGTAGCTGGGATTACAGGCACGCGCCACCATGCCCATCTATTTTTAGTAGAGACAGGGTCTCGCTCTTGCTCAGGCTGGTCTCCAACTCCTGAGCTCAAGTGATCCTCCCGCCTCGGCCTCCCAGAGTGCTAGTATTACATGCATGAGCCACTGTGCCCGGCCACACATATACCCTTGTACCCCAGTAAGTCCCCACTTGGCTGTGTGTCCTGTAGACACTCACACAAGTGTACAAAGTGATGGAGGAACATGGGGATTCCTGTAGTGATGTTTGGGACAACCCAACACCCATCAACAGGGGACCAATGCAGTACATTCCGAGCTGTCCATATCCTGGAATGAGGGTGTACTTTCTATCAGAGATGGAAACCTCTCCAGCTTATATCAAATGGAGGTTTGAAATAAAAAGAAGAGCAATGCACTTTTGCAAAACTATTGACACATGCATTTGCTTATTTACGTAGGAAAGTATCTCCAAAATGATATGTTGACAGAAAACTCAAGCTGCCCCCAGTGAGAGGAACTGAGTGTCAGAGCCATAACTGAGTGGAAGGCTCCTCGCTATGGATCCTACTGTACCTTTTGAGTTTCAAACGTTGTCCCTAGACACGCTGGTCAGTAAAATAAAATAGTGAATGGGCTCCCCAGGGACAGGCAAGAACTGGAAGAGAAGTTGAATAAGGACAGAGCCCTGGGGAGCCTGAACGAACTCAGACAGCGACAAGAACACAACACAAGATAACTCGGCCAACCTGAAAGCAATAGAGTCGTAGAGGGAAAGATGTAATCAGATGTGTAAAGATCCCAAAGTTCAGCCCATTAAAAAATAAGACGGTCCTGCAAAGGGCTGGGCTGAGAAGACATCTGCACATTAGACAAAAGGTTCAGAACTCTGAGTTGTGAACACTTTCCAAAAAGCAGCAAAGATAACACCCAATGCCGGCAGGCATGTGGCACGATGGACCAAAGGAACTAAAACTGGCCAGACCCTTCAGGCCCCTCAGGCCATCTGTCGCACTGCAAAGAGCATCAGGAACCGAGAGAACTTTCGGACCTGAGCAACTTCCGCCCATTGGAAGCCACGGGTGAGCCATACAAGGAATGTGAAAACGCACGTGCTGCCACCGCTGAGCAAAGGACACGAACAGTTCTCAGGAAATACCTGCAGCTCAAGCCCGTTCGACCTGCTCTCAGAAGCACAGAGCATCGCACCATGATACCATTTTTGAACCCATCGGAGTGGCCAAAACCCCAGAGTTTGAGAACGTGGTCTGCTGGTGGGGCCATGGGAAACAGGTCCGCTGTTCCAGGACTGTGGCAAGGCAGGTCACCGTGGAGGGTCACTTGGCAACACAGACCACGTTTGCCAGCGCCCTTTTCCTGTGCCCGGCTGTTCCAGTTGAGTTTCATCCCAGTTTATCTACACCCATGGGACATGGCGGAGTTGGCCAGTGACGGACGTGGCCCATCTTCCTGGCGGGTGGAGATCAAGGATGCTTGCTGGGCTCTGGCAAGGAAAGGTCCATGCCCACGCAAATTAGCTGCTTTTGTGTTACAAACAGGGGTGAACCCCGCACATTGCGGTTTGGGCCGGCATATAGACGCTAGGAGGGAGAACAAAAAGCAAATGCAAGTGCAGGAGGGAATGTGACCTTCCGCCACGCACCTACCTGCTCAGTTGAGCCATGTGAATGTATTACCTGTTCATAAAACCGTCTCCAATCTGCCAGAGTAATTCCACTTTTAGTCCCTCGTCCCAAGGAAACCATTCAGACTCACACCAAAGAGAGATTAGATGACAACATTCTCTGTGGTACTATTTATAACCATATAAAGCAGGAAGCAAGCGGAATGTCGCACATTTGGGGAACAGTTTAATAATAAACTGCCACACGACACAGCTGAGCGTTACATAGTGAGGACGACGACAAGGACAGCCATTTTCTTGTTTCTTAGGAACGTATGAAATGAACAGTGGATTTCAGTAAAGGCTGCACATCACGGCCGTCTCGAGCCAAAACTACAGTTGCATTTGGCTGTCGAAAGCTGTAACTTTTCAAAACGTTCACTTATTTCAATATGTTGTCAATGTTTTAAAATACACCTAAAAGGGAGGGCGATGAATCGCAGAGGCTGCGCTCAGGCCCCACTGAGAGTGGACGGCTGGAGAAGGGGACAGCGGGAAGGGGACAGCCGAGACAGGTTCTTGTGCAGCATGTGGCCCTTGACTTCACTGCATGTCGGTTTTGCTTTGCTTGTTTTTTACCTTAAACATTTTCCTTCCAGCCCAGAGGCCACCGGGCCTGGCGTCCTGAGGGCGGGACTCTATCTGCACCGGGAGGGGCGGGGGGAGGAGTCGAGCCAGGGCCCCTGGTGCCCTCGAGCGACACAGCGGAGAGCTGTGGCCCAGTCCAGTGTCAGACAAGCGAGGGGGCGCCCCGGGAGCCTGGACAGGGCCATCTATGTGGCCAGGGGCAGGAGGGTGAGACCACCCGGAACGAAGGCACGGAGGCTGGAGAGAACTCGGCATGTTCCCAGACTGCACGGGCTTGGGCGGGGGCGGGACACGAAGTTGGAGAGGCTGGAGCCGCCAGTGGCCCAGGAGGTGGGACGCTATCCTGAGGGCAAAGGGAAGCCTCTGGGGCCACAGCGGGGACATGGGGGAGGCAGGGCTGCAGCAGATACGGGTGCCCCTGCCCAAGGGCCCAGAATCCAGCCACTGCTCTGCCAATAGGAACACAGAGGCCCAGAGAGGGCAAGGGGCTCGTGCAGGCGGCATGCTGTCTCCTGGTGGGGCTGTCCTCCCCTCGCGGGACGGGCACACAGGAGGGGCTGGCAAATCCTTCTTGGGATGGCCAAGGACATGGGAGACTCTAGCAGGGAAGAAGGCTCTGGGCAACAGAGGATGGGCACTGACCAGCCCCAGCCCCTCACCGGCCACTGCCCCCACTGCCACCTCCACCCGCACCCCCGCCCTGGCCCCCGGCGTCCGGCGCTCCTGACATCATGAGGAACAGGACGACAGGAATGATGTACATCCACTGCAGACGACAGACAGACACACACAGAGACAGAGAGAGGAGATGAGCATGGGAGTCACCTGCCCTCAGGGGGAGGTAGAGCCAGCGTGAGGGGAGGCCGAGTGAGGGGAGGGGGCCCAGGTCCCCTACGTCACTACGGGCGGGGGAGGGCTGGTGGGTGCGGGAGGGGCGGAGGCGGGAGGGGGTCTCGGTCCTCACTCAGGCCTCCTGCGGCGGCGGCGCGGGCCCTGGGGCAGCAGGACGCAGGGCTGTGAGCAACACGGCCCCCCCCAGGATGAGGTGCCACTGAGGAGGGAGGGGGGCGCAGGTCAGGGCTGGCAGGGCAGGGCAGGCAAGGCCTCAGCCTCTCTGGGCCTCAGTTTCCCTGCAGCTGTTAGACTATGCTGACGTCAGGAGCACTGGGCCCTCCAGGCGTGGCGCTCAGCAGAGCCGGGCTCCGCGCCACAGGCTGCCAGCACCCTTCCCCCTCGGGCCACACCAGCCTCCGTGTGGCGCCCTGGCTTCCCCAGGGCCTGTGCCACAACCTAGCACCAGTCACCAGACGAGGGCAGACCGGAGGCTCGGGTGGAAGTGGCCTTCTCCAGAGAGCCGCCCCTCCAGCACCCCCAGGCCCCCTGCCTGGCCTCGGGCTCCGGCCGCATGGGCCCTTCCCTCCTGAGCTCCACGCCAGCCCTCCACGCACCCTGCTGCCCGCTGTGCCCTTCCCCAGGGCCACGTGCCTCGCAGCCACAACCTCCTGCAGGACCTGCCACTTCCCTCGTTCCTTTGGAACCTTTGTCCCACCCCTTCCTCTCCAGGCTGGCTTGGGCCTGCACCCCAGAGCTGGCCATTCCTCCACACCCTCCTCCTCCAAACAAGCCTCTTGTCTGTCCCAAGCAGGACTCTAACTGCTGTGCCCGTGCCGGCCCAGCACACCCGGCCCCAGGACCGCTTCCTCAAGCTGGCCGTGGCGGGGTGGGCGCGCCACAGCCCTCAGCCCGCGTCCAGGCCCAGGCTCAGCCCCGGTGCCAGAGGGACACACAGAGGCGCCGGGAGTTTAAGGGGCCCCATGCGCAGGAGGCCCAGAGGACAAGGAACGGAGAGGAGCCAGGTGGGGGACTCTGGACAGGGGCAGGGGGACCCGGCCCCAGGGGTCTGTCAGGAAGGGGTGGGGAGGCTGGGGGAGCCCCACTCACGTATTTGGCGAAAAAGGACTTCTGCTCCTGGGGGTTCTTGGCCTTCTGGGCCTGCTCCATCTCTAGGCGCTCGATGAAGGCCGCCGTCTCTGGGCTGGGCAAGCGGAGAGGAGAAGCGTGAGGGGCTGGAGTCCAGGGACCTGCAGACCCTGAGGCCACCAAGGATTGCAGGGGAAGGGGCCAGGGCCAGGGGCAGCCAGCAAGGACGCCCACAAAGGCAGAGGAACCCCCGATGCCCCACACGTCCTCACCCCGGGGCCGTGACCGGCGGCTGCAGGTGCACCGAGGTATTGAACAGCTCCAGGTCCACGTCCTCCACCTCGTGGCCCCGGCAGCCCCCGGGGTGCGTCACCACCGACACGCCCACCACGTTGCCGGCCACGTCCACGTGCAGGGTCAGCTGGTCCGAGAGGTGCGACTCCACCAGGGAGCACTGTGGGGAGGGGAGGGGTAAGGGGAGGGGGAGAGCAGGGGCTGCTGCCCAGGCCCCCGCTAGCCTCCTCCCCCCACCATGGGACCCCCAAAGCATCTTTCCAAACCTTTCCATGGCTCCCTGCCACCCTTGGACACAAGCCCAGCCTCCCCAGGGTCCTCGCATTAAAGCACCAACCCCCAGGCCCACCCCTCTGGACCAGGAGACCAGGGCAAGGTTGGGTCTGTGTCTTCCCAGCCTCTGCAGCCACCAGAACCTCGAGGGGCCGAGTGGTGGAAGCAGGGCTGAGGCAGGTGGCAGGGGCGAGGATGGGGGGCTGGTCCACGTCACCAACTCACCGCGGGGACAAAGGAAGAGACATAGCCACCAGCTTCTGGGCCATCAAGGGCCCCAGGCCGCCTCGGAACCCGGACACGGTACAGGCCATTCAGGGCTGCCACATCCTGCAGGGCGGGTAGGGGGTGCTGGTGCGAGGGACGGTGCCTGGCCCCTGCCAGGCTGTGACCCCCGCAGGCTGCAGCGAGGAAGGCCTTACCCAGTCTCACCCACTAGCAGCTCACTCCCTGCCTGGCTGCCCTGGGTCTGCCCGGGACTCTTCCCACTGGGCGGCCCAGCTGGTGGGTGAGGCCGTGAGCACCTGGGGCCAGCCCACCTCGGGGGAGAAGGACAGTAGAGCCCAGCCCAGTGATGGAGTGAGTCCTGAGGACACCCTCTCTACTTTGCAGGCACCTGTGACAGAATCACGTGGGACCGTGTAGAAAGGCTGGTCGGGCAAACCTCACTATGACGCCTTCTCTGGGGAAAGCGCCTGCAGGCACCCGGCTTTCAGAATAAATCCACGTTTCCCAGCCTCCCTTGCAGCGACCTCGGCCAACGGGGCAGAAGTGGAAATGGACTGTGCAACTTTGCAAATTGTCCCTAAAGCTGCTGCTCCCCCGCCCCTCCTTCTCCCCCTCCGTCCTGTGGCCCAGAGCCCTGGGGCCTCCCTGCGCCACCCCAGAGAGGCTCAAGCTGGGCCTGGGAGGAGCCCGGGCCCTTGAGGAGGCCACAAAGCAGGTGACAGAAGTGACTTCTTGTCTAACCACAGCTATTTTGAGGATCTCTTTCTCCTCACGAGCAAATCGTGTCCTAAGTGGTCATGAAACATCTCAGCTGACTCTGGAAGACGGGAGAAGCCAGCGGTGTGACCCCTGCAGGAAGAGGGTGTGCTAGGCAGAGGGAGCAGCATAGGAACAGGCCCTGAGGCCGGCACCTCACATTCTTGGCACTAAGGCCAGCCACAGCACCACTCGGCCTGGGGCAGTCATCGGGGGACAGAGAGTGAAGGCAGCAGGAGGCACTGGGCCCCACTTAGACCTAGGGGGTGGGCTGCAGGGAACCAGAGCAGGGCAGCTGGAGAGATAGCCAGACACCCCCACCCCCAGCCCTGGGGTCCCCACCTCACCCGGAGTCGGCCCCTCTCCTCCTCACTGAGCTGCCGCTGCGACAAGGACAAGGTGCCATCCTGCTGGTTCCAGAGCAGTGAGCCCCGCTTCCGGAAGTTGGCACTGTCATCTGTGGGGAGCCCGGGCTCAGAGACCAGCCCCAAATGCGCCCTTCAACCCAGGCAGGAGCCAGGAGACCTGGATTCAAATTTTGGTCTGGCCTCCGCCCAAGAGTGACCAGGTTCCTTCCCCAACCTGAGCCCCCATTTATACATCTGCAAACGGGATACCCCTACCATGTCCTGCCTTCTCACCCCACAAGGCAGCCTATGGCACATGCATGAACCCCAAAGCTCCCAAGTCCTGCCTCTGCCTTGCCAGGTGACCCAAGGACAGTCACATAATCTCCCTGAGCCTCAGTTTCCCCAGGGGCAAAATATGAAGGCTGTAGAGCTCAGGATCTCCCAACAGCCCGGCTGTGTCAGAATCCGCGGAGCTGTTCATGGAGCAGATGCCAGGGCCTGACTCTACAGGCCTAAAAAAGTCTGTTCTGAAATTATTATTGCTTCACTGACCATTCTGAAACTGGGATTTGTCTTACAGGTCTGGAGGCACTAAAGGCAGTGTTTTTCTTCTCCACGCCCCCTCTCATACACACCCCACGACGGGCAAAGCTGTTAGTATAGATAGCACCCAGACCCCGAGTCTTGACTTCACAGGGCACCAGGTAAGTGTCCAGAAAAGGACATTGCTGGACTCACCGATCTCAAACGAGTGCTCCAGCAGCAGTCCCACCGGGCCACAGCCCTCGCCCTCTCGGCCTTCTACTCCAGCCTGCAAGAGAGAAGGGCATAGGTGAGGACCACCCAAGCCCTCAGCAGGGCAGGACCCACAGATCCCAGGACAGACTGGCAGGCTGAGGGTGGAGTCTTATCTTCATATTCGTGTTCAATCACTGATGCCTTCCTGATTCAAGCACCAGAGGCAGGAAGAAAAAACCCAAAACACTTGACACCTGCCCCCATTCGCAAAGGAACCACCCATTTCATGAATATTCATAATGCGGGCTCTTCCATACCCAGAAAACCAGACTCTACAAACTCCTCTAACCTCCTTTCCAAGGCAACTATCCCCAGGTCACTTTCACACCCTGTACTATAAATAATAATAAGTTAAAACACACCCTCCCTCTCCCAGGGATTCATTTACAGGCTAAGATCCAAAACGCCTCGTTTTTACCTTAACACCCCAGCCTGAGTTCAGCCTCTATCAAGCACATTCAAGATCTCCAGCTAGCCAAACCTCTGCCGCCTCTGCAAAACCTATGCTCACCCTCACACCTTGGATCCTGTTTCCACATTAAAAGGTACGCGCAAGCTCAAGATCCCGCCCCCTCGTGCATTTTCAGGACAGAACTCCTCTCCAACCCCGCAAGCGCCCCTCGCCACGTCTTTTTCATTTTAACCGCCCCGACGTGCGATTCGCCAAGATGCCAGCCGAGCCCCGCCCCCTCATACATATTCACGAGAAAAGCCGTCAGAACTGTCCTCTGGTTTTCTCTCCCAGTCGCCGCGGCCTCTTGCCCGGCGGAGGCCCGTGCTGCGCGCGTGGCTGCAGCCTGGCTTTCCGCGGTTCTCTCCCCTCGTCCTTCTCGGCCCTGCGCAGCCTCGTTCCCACCTTAACCCACCTAAAGCCCCAAGACCCACGGCTTCCGTTGACCTCGGCCGCTGTACAGAGCTAATGAGGACTCACCCCCCGCGCAGTGGCCCCGGCCCGGCAGCCGCTGCCTCGGGCCCGACTAGGCGCCGCTACCGCCATCAGCAAGAGCAGAAGCAGCCGAGCTGCCCCGGCGCCGGCCGCCATAGCGGCCCCTTCCACCAGCCCAGGGGCCGGTGTGAGCCGAGAGCCGCGGAGCACGCCGGGAGGAACCGGACGCGTCCTGGCGACTGCGCGCGGGCGCCAGCTGCTTGCGCCTGCGCACTGCCGTCCATCCGCAGCCTGGCTAGTAATCAGCTGGGCGACGGCCGGGGTCCTCAGGGGCGGTCCCTCGGGTGACGTCACCACCACAGGCGTCTGCTTCTCGGTGACGTCATTCAGCCTGGTCCGCTGCGTTGTGATGTCACAGTGCCCGCAGCCCCGCCTTCTGTTTTCTCCGCCGGCTCCTCCCTACGTTCGGCTCTAGGGGCGGGGGCATTGCGATGAAGCGGAGGCATGAGCCTAGGCCGGCCCTCGGTGGAGCAGGTGAGGCGGTACCAGGTGGGATGGCAGGTGAGAGGCAGAGCCAGTCCAGGAGGGGTTGGACCTGGTGAGGGAATCAGTGAGGGGACCCTGTAAGGGATGGGGCCAGCAATTCGGAGACATCTGATACCCTTTTCCTCAACGCGGGACTACCCCGGCCCCTACCCGCTGCGGGAGTCAGGCCCGGCCTCCTGGGATAGACCCCCGAACTTCGCCCCTCTAGAACGCCCCCTGGTTCCAGCCTATCCCGCGGGCCGTCCCGGACGGCTCCAACGCCACCTCCAGAGCGGCGAGTTCGACCAGCTGCGGGACTTCCCCATCTTTGAGAGCAACTTCGTGCAGGTGTGGAGCCCCAGGACCCCAGAGTCTCGGCCTGACCCTTGGCCTCCTGACATGGGAAACCCCTGCTCTCCCTACTTCTGACCATTTCCCCATGATGTCCACCTCGTTGGATTCCTGACTTCCAGCTCCTGTGTGACCTCTGACCCCTCCACATACCTCCAGCCCTTTAGCTTCTCTGTGAATCCTGGACTCTGATTCCCTTGCCTCAGTTTCCCCCTGACTTCACACCCATGTGATTCTTGAGCTTTAATTCCAAGATATTTGGCCCCCAACCTGATTTTCAACTTACCTGGTTCATGACCTTTTACCCTGCCAAGATTCTTAACCTCTGATCCCTCCCCAATTCTGCCCCCCATCTATCCCGCCTCTAACCTCTGACCTATGGCCCCAGGTGACCCGCTTAGGAGAAGTTGCCAACAAGGTCACCGTGGGGGTGGCAGCCTCCAGTCCAGCCCTGGAACTCCCAGACCTATTGCTGCTGGCAGGCCCCACCAAGGAGAACGGACACCTGCAGCTCTTCGGGTGACTGCCCCCACCTCAGCCTAGACCTCCTCCTCCCTAAGCTCTGGGCATCCGGACCACCCCCAGGGCCAGGAGTTTGGGATGGCTGCCAGCCCTCTCTGGGCTAGGGTCCACCTGGGAGAACAAGGACAGTGCAACCCTCGGGGGCCAGAAAACAGGGACTAGACAGACATGAAGGGGACAGTCCTCAGCTATACCCCGGCAGGGGTCAGGAGAATGGCCACTTATGTAGTGTCTGCTGCATGCCAGGTGCACCCTGGGCCGTGCACATGCTTTCATCTCTGACCTCATATCCTCATGAGGTGCGCTCCCTAGCTCCATTCTCCAAAGAGGTAAACTGAGGCTCGGAGCAGGGAGCCAGTTGCCCAGGTTCACACAGTGGGTCAGGAATGGGCTGGAATTGGAACCTCGAGCTCCTCGTGATTGCCAATCTTAGGACTCTTGAGCCCCCACGCCTTGCTACACACTGCTGCTTTAGGTCTTAGTTTTTCATTGAAGAAGCAATGCAGACACACAGGGAAAACAAACAGTGCAAGGTATACCCTTCACCCATCCCAGACTCCTGCCCCCAACTCCAGCTGCAAACACTGAAACATTTACATGCTTATAGTATATTTCCAGAAACATTCTGCCAGCAGCTTTCACTTTTTTGACCACATCTCACAGTTAGTGAAAGAGAGAGAGGGAGAAAAGAGAAGGGAGAGGGAGTGAAGAAGGAAAGGAATGAAGAAGGATGAACTCACGTTGTCTCTATCACACACACACACAGGCCCACAATCCTTTGCAGTTCCGAAGTCCAAAAGGTTTTTTGTAACTCTGTGGCAGAATCCGCTTCAGATCTGAAAGTACTAGGGGCTACTTACAGCCTTCATTTATCTAGCGACCTCTGCCCCCAAGTTAAAAACCTTTCACGAAGCAGTATTCTGATTCCGGGATGGCGCACCGGGACGTTTCCTCTTCTACACTATTCCTTTTACTCTAAATGCTAATTGTTCCACCAGTTGACGTTACCACTCACTGATCACGACCTGCAGTTAGAAGAACACTAATGACTATGCTGAGTAGTGGCTTTGGCTCCCCGCCCCAAGCTTCAGCACCCTAAGCCCCCTCCCCAAACGAAGTGAAAACATTGTATTTGCTCTGCAGACCTGACCACAAGACTCATCCCCCAGCCCCTCACTTTTGTCTAACCAACTTGCAGCCCTGAGCTATTCTGAAGCAGTTTCCAACAGGCACACATGTGGGCCCGTCCTTTCTTTAAAAACAGCAGTGGACACAAGCTGTATGCCGCCTCTCTGCGGTGCCCACTCCATCATCAGCACTGTGTCCCTACACATCTGGGCGTGGGTACAACCAACAGACTTGTTTGGACATGCACAGTTGAGTGAGCTCTGGGGTCCTTCCTGGACATCAGGCTTGTGCCCAGCCTCTTGCTCTTAATATAGGAGGGGACGTCCTTGAACAAATATCTGCCTTCAGGTGGCCTGGGTTCAGATTGTGGTTTCACTCTTCACTGGCTTTGGCCAGGCTTCCCCTACCCCTGCCTATGCCTCAGTTTCCTCATTTGGAAAATGGAGAGAAGAGGAGAGCCCACCTCCCAGGGCTGTCGCGGGATAAACCGAGTAAATGTAAAGTGCTTGGAACAGCACCTGGCACAGAATAAGTGCTCCATAAACATCAGCTGTTATTCTTCCATTTGGGGGTCAATAATCAAGTCATCCGATAAGTGACACTGAGGTTGTCCAGTGTCTTGGGGTTACAACCAGTGTGGCAGGGGAACCCGTGTTGTGTAAGTTTGTGAACAGGTGAGAGGAAGTGTGTGCGATCCATTCCTAGAAGTAATATTGCTATGCCTGGGCTGAACACCTGCTGTGTGTCAGCTCCGGGTACCAGAGAAACAGCACTGGACAAAATTGGGCCCAAATTCCTGCCTCCAAGGAGCTCACTTTCTCTCGGAAGGCAGACAGAATAAATGGCAAGTCATCAGATCAGGAGAGGCCTATGGGGCCATATAGGACCAGGAAGGGCCATAAGGAAGTCTGCCAGGGTGGATGTGGTTGCAAATAGGCTGGGGGAGATCTCCCTGAGAAGGTACTTCCTGAGAAGGATGCGAGGGAGATGAAGGGGGTGGCGAGTCATGGGAGTGGCTGGAGAAGGTTTTTCAGGTTGTTCAGGGAACAGCTTGTGCAAAGGTCCTGGGGTAGGACTGAGCCTGGCGTGTTTATGGAACAGCAAGGAGGCCAGCGTGGCTGCAGGTGCAGGAGATGAGGCAGAGGGAACAAGGAGCAGGTCGCGCAGGGCCTTGGTGAGGGCTTTGCAGTTACTCCAGTGATCCGGGAGCTAGGGGCGGGAACAGAGCTGTCCAAGGTGCTAACCGCCGCCCCCTGGCGGCCTCGTGGGGCGCAGACTGTAGGAGCCAAGGGCTGAGGCCGTGAGCCCAGGGCGGAAATTAGTGGCTGGACCCAGTGGTGGCGGGAAGGGAGTGAGAAGTGGTTGGATTGTGGATACATTTTAAAGGTGGAGCCACCAGAATTTGGTGGCATGATTGGATGAGGGCGTGAGAACGTTGGATCAGGGGCGACGCCTAGATTTTTGACCGAGCAAGTGGGGGGAAGTAGCTAAGATGGGGACGTCGGAGAGTAGGTTGGGGGCGGGGCCAGGGGATCGGGAATTTGGTTTCGGACGCGTTATGCAGACGGTCGGATGGAATGTCCAGCAGGCAGCTGCGTATTCGAGTCTGGCGTTTAGGAGAGAGGACCAGTGGGAGAAAAAACGGCGGTGTGTGGCTGGAAGAAAGTTGAGGATGGACTTAAATTCAAAAGGCAATGAAAGCGAAAGGGATTCCTCTGGCTGGGGAGGGGCGGCGTGGCGGGGACGCCCGACCCCCAGCGCGCCAGGGGCCTGGAAGGCTGAGTCACGGGGGCAGCACCTGAGGCCGCCCCTTTCGTCCGCCCAGGCTGTTCCCCTTGCAGTTCGTCCAGCTCTTCATCCACGACGAGAGCCGCTGCCAGCTCAAGGTCAAGTTCCGCACCGGCCGCGCCTTCTACTTGCAGCTGCGGGCCCCGCCTGAGACCCGAGACCGCGAGTTCGGCCAGTGGGTGCGGCTGCTCTACCGCCTGCGCTTCCACGCGGCCCACGGAGCCGTGCCCTTCACGCAGGAGGACTCGGCGCCGGAGGACCTTGACGACGACGAGGAAGACGAGGAAGACGAGCTGGAGTGCGAGGAGGTGAGGGAGGAGGGGTGAGGAGTGGGGGACTCGGGGAGGGAGGCCGGGGACCTGGCTGCCTGTGTCTGAGAGTGGCCGAGACTGGCCCAGACTCCTGAGTCCTTAAGGGGTACGAAGCCTGTGGGTGGAAGACAGCAGGGTCTGCGGGGCCCCGGGGCCCTTAGCGGAGGTGGCCATGGTGTCCTAATTGGAAACGCACACCCGCCCACACCTTGGCCTGTTGAAGTGGGTTCTGAAGGGGTAGCGTCAGCCATGCCAGGCGTCCAGTTCCCTGTGAGGCCCCCGGGGAGCACAGGGGCGCTGGTCCTGGACGGTGGGGGCCCTGGAACCTGTGGGCCTCTTCCGTTTAAAATGCCCCCTCTGCCCCGCATTGCAGCTCGGCCTGCTGGTCACGCCTCTGAAACCAGCTCTCCCTTGCACCCAGCTCCACGCCATGGAAGCCAGGCTTGAGCCGCAGACCTCCGAACTCTGGGGACTCTGATTCTTCCCACACCTTTCGAGGTCACCAAAGGACTAGAGATCAAAGTACATTGCCTCAGGCCAGAGAGATGAATTATTCAAGTTAATAAAGATCGGCCACTTGAGAACCAACAACCAGGTCATGAGCAGTTCCGCCATTGTCACCAATTCAACATGGCTGCCTGGCAGTAGCTTTTCTGGTGTGGCCTCTTCCACCTGGTCTTCGGTTTACTCTGTCTTGCTCCTGGGGCCACCACTGAGACCTAGTGCCCACCACGCAGACGTGGCTGCCTCAGTGGAACGGCCTTCTCAGTCTGGCCTGGGGTTCCTCTTTGACCCGCTGTCTTTGCGACTGCAGCCGCCTGCGTCCTCCCTGCTCCCAGCAGCTAGTCCCAGAGCCGCCCCCCGGCCGTGGGCTCACCAGCCACACTTTGTAGTTGCCCCGCCCCCACTAAAGTAGCTGTTCCGAGATGGCCCCACTTTGGTCTGTTCGAATGTGACGGACGCCCCACGGGAGGAGGAAGGCGGAGCTACAGATTCAAGAAGGACAGACACGTGAGAGTCCGAGACAAGCCTGTTTTGTTCCCAGTGAGAACTCTGGAAAGAACACAGTCCCAGGAGGTGTGGGACTGGGGCTCGGACAGCAGCTGATCGTCTCGACGGCGGGAGAAGTTTCAGTGCGGCACTGTGGGGGCGATGAGAAAAGGGTGGGTGAGGCGGGCCCCGGGCACGCCTCTTCCTGAAGTCCTGCCCTCCCTGTCTTCTCCGCCTGCTGCGTCCATGTGCCTGTCCTTGGCCACCCAACCCAACCCAACCCAGTGCCCTGGTCACTGTCCCTGGGGCGCTCTGAGCAGCTGCTGGCTGTGAGCAGTCACTGGAATCCTGACATCGGGGTATTTCTGAACTGAGTCAATAGCGGATACAGGGGACAGAGTATTAGAAATTGCCTCAGTCTGGAAGGGCAGTGATCTAGAATGACAGGTTTGGAAAGTGTCCTCTCAGAGCCCTTGTTAAGGGTCCCCAGCCACTTCTGTCTGCTGCGCTGTCCTCAGGGCCGGGGAAGTCTGAGTGGTCAGAAGTCACGGGCGGGGAGGGACTCCGGAGGTCCATATTGGTGTCAGCCTGCTCTGGGGGACTTGTTAGCGGCCACCTCACTGAGCCTTGACTGGCTGACGTCTGAGGCACCGGAGCTTGAGGCAAAGGGGGCGAGGAAGTGGGCTCCAGGTGGAGGGAACAGCATGTGCTAAGTCCCAGCAGCAGGAGAAAGCATGGCCGGTTTGTCCAACAGCCAGCAGCTCAGTGTGGCTGGCACTCAGCACGCAGGGAAACGGGAGAACGTGAGGCAGGCGGGGCTGGGGCCGGAGCAGGACGGTGACCACCAGGCTGAGGGGCTCCGGGGGTACTGGGGAGCCCTGGGGGGGCTGGGAGCAGGGGAAGGGCAGGTCGGCTCTGGACACAGAGACCCCTCTAGGGCCATGTGTGGACAGACAGGAGCGGGGGACTAGAGGCAGGGGGCTGGGGAGGGGGCTGGGAAGGAGACCCAGGAGGAAAAGGATGAAGCTTGAGCTGGGGCCAGGGCCATGGGGCAGAGAGGAGGGGGCAGGGCAGGGAGAGGCAGGAGAAAGAAGGAAGGAGCTTGGGGACAGGCTGGGGAGGGGGCCTGTTTGGGGCTCCCACAGCCCCGGTCCTCTGCCGTTATCCCTGTCTGCTTCATCTGAGCACCTCCTCTACCCACGTGGGCCCAGGCGCACGAAAGGCCTTGGGGGCCATTTACCAAGGTCTTCTCCCCCATCGCCTCCCTCTTCTTTGTCCTTCAACTCCTTTGGAAAAGCCCTCTGGGTCTCCTCCTGCCCGGCTGGGTCAGGGGCTCCCCAGCCCAATCCCCCCAATGCCCCGTGCTGCCTTCCTTCCAGCACATGTCACTGCATCTGTCTTGTTTGGGTCCGGACCTGGCTTCCCAGTCATGGTAGCGGGCCCGGGGCCGACTCCTTTCTAGACCTCACCTCGGACGTCCAGCTTGCACTCGGCCAGCGCCTCGCCCAGCTCGTTGACGGCCCGGCAGGTGTAAGTCCCGGCGTCGAAGGGCGAGGGGCGGCGGATGTTCAGCGTCAGGACCCCCTGGTAGTTGGTCATCAGGAACTTGGGGTCTTCTCGGATTTCCATGTTGTTCTTCATCCAGGAAACCTTTGGCTGTTGAGGGGAGCGGGAGAGGAAGGCAACTCAGAGAGGGTCCCCTGGGCAATGGCAAAATGAGGCTCAGGAGGAAGATTTAGGTGCTAGGCTGTGCCACCTCCTTGCTGGATATCCTTGAACTAGTCATTTCTACTCTCTGACCCTCAGTCTCCTCTTCTGTGAAAGCAGGTTGATTGTCCCTACCTCACAATGTCATGGTGAGGGCTTCCCATTGGTCTCCCAATCGAGAGCTCACCCTCATAGCAGCCCACCAGGCCCTACACGATTTGGCCCCATTAGTCCTCTGCACTCACCTGCCCCCACCGCCCGGCCACACTGGCCGCCTCGCTGTTCCTCACAACAGACCAGACAGACTCCCACCTCGGGACCTTGGCACTGGCTGTTCCCTCTTCCAGTATTGCCCGTCCCTTCCTTTTTTACCAAACTAGCACCTGCCTCCCCTTCAGGTCTCAGCTCACACGTCCCTTCCTGGCCCCTAGACTGCGACAGGAACTCCTATTTTACACTCCCATACCTGCCTGCGTTTCTCTAGCACTCTTTGCTCCCTTTTTAGTTTTATTTGTACGACTTTAGGTTAATATTGGTCTCCCCCAACATACAAGAAACTTCTTGTTTGATTCACCTAGTGCATAGAAAGCCTCTGAAAATGTTTGGTGAAGGAAATGAAGCGAACAAATGAATGAGTGAATGAATGAATGATGTAAATAAGCCAGTGGAGTGAATGAATGAACTGAGTAAATGAATGGATTGGCAGATGAGTAAATGAGCAGAATGAACGAGTGGGGTTGTGGAGTTAGTGAGTAGACAGAGACGACTCCACAGTGTGTCTAAAGGCGCTGAAGCTAAAAACCCGGAGTCTAGAGCAGCAGTCGGCAAACTGTTCCCATAGAGGGCCAGTTAGTAAATATTTCAGGCTTTGCAGCCCCTACAGTCTCTGTTGCAACTATTCAACTCTGCCTCCAAAATGTAAACAGATGTGTGTGGCCCGTGTTCCAATAAAACTTTACTGAGGCCGGGCGCGGTGGCTCACGCCTGTAATCCTAGCTCTCTGGGAGGCCGAGGCGGGCGGATTGTTTGAGCTCAGCAGTTCGAGACTAGCCCGAGCAAGAGCGAGACCCCGCCTCTACTAAAAATAGAAGGAAATTAATCAGACAACTAAAAATATATAGAAAAAATTAGCCGGGCATGGTGGCACATGCCTGTAGTCCCAGCTACTCGGGAGGCTGAGGCAGGAGGATCGCTTGAGCCCAGGAGTTTGAGGTTGCTGTGAGCTAGGATGATGCCACGGCACTCACTCTAGCCAGGGCAACAGAGTGAGACTCTGTCTCAAAAGAAAAAAACTTCATTGAGAGAAACAGGTGGTAGGTGGAGTTGGCCTGTGGGCCATAGTTTGCCAACCCCTGTTCTAGATGAGCCACTCGAGCTCAAGGTTGCAAGCGTCCGTATTCCCAAACAGCAGTCTGGAAACCGGGATGGAGCGGGAAGACCCTGGGAGCCGTGGAGGTTTAGACTGCCCCTGGCCCCCGGAGGGATTGGCGTTTGTCCTTGGACAGGGCAAGAGAGACCGAATGGCCCTCTCCTCAGGCTGCCGGGATCAGCTGTCGCCTGGCCCACGTTAGGCAAAGGAAAAGACAGGAAGACAGGGGCCGATTGTCGGAGACTTGGGCTCTGGCCAGAGGGGGAGAGAGACAGGAAGTGGGTTAAAAGTGAGCAAATGCCATGAAACAGAGGAGCACTCAGGGAAGAAAAGCCGGTGTGCCGGGGAGCGGGGGCTCCACCCTGTGGGAGACTCCCACCAGGGGCCCACATGTGACGCACACGCGGATCTGGGCCCCGCCCCAGGCACCTTTGGATGGCCTCTGACGGCGCAGTTGAGAGCCGCGGTGTACCCAGCCACTACCACGCGGTCTATGAGAGGCGTCAGGAACTTGGGAGGCATCCGGAAGTCATGCTCCTGGTACTCGAATGGCTTTAAGGTGATTCCTGGAGAGGGGAGATACATCTGTGAGGTGACTGATCTGGACTGTCCCCCAGCCCCAACCAGGGAGTGAACCCTGACCACCTCTCCCCCGTGGCCAGGGGGTCGGGCCACAGGCGTCCAGGTGGGACCCCAGCCAGGAGGGCAGTGGGGGTGGGATTGGGCCCTGCGGGGAGGGGGCAGCACCTGTCTTGAGGATGCGGGCCGTGTTCTTGGAGACACCAGAGGAGTCGCTGAGCCCACAGATGTTCTCGGTGAAGACACGGAAATAGTATTCGTTGCCTATGATGAGCTCAGGCACAGTACAGGAAGTGTGCCGGTTGCGTTCGTAGACGTTGAACCACTCCTGGTGTGAGGACAGGGAGGGACGGGGCGAGGCGGGGACACAAGGGGAGCACGCACAAGTGGACACAGACACGAGAAGGGCCAGGGGTTAGAGAAGTGCATCCAAGCGTTCAGAGAACCCGTCACTCCTAGCAGCACTGTTCGAAATCGCCAGCAGGTGGAGCGACTCCAGCGCCCGGCGGATGGGCGGATAAAACGTGGTCCATCCAGACGAAGAAGGAGCGAGGCACTGACTCGGGACAGCACGGATGGCCCGGGAGACATTACGCTAGCGAAAGAAGCCAGGCACGCGGTGGAGGCCGCTCTCCGTATGGAATGTCCGGAGTCAGAACATCCACAGTCGGAAAGCCGACCGGTGGTTGCCAGGGGCTGGGTCCGGGAGGACAGGAGGTGGCCGCTAATGGTGTGGGGTTTCCTTTCGCGGTGATGAAAACGCTTTGGAAGTCGACAGAGTGGCTGTCGCACAACACTGTGAATGTGCTAAACGCTGCGGAATTTTTCACTTTAAAATGACTAATGGTGGGCCGGCGCGGGGGCTCACGCCTGTAATCCCAGCACTCTGGGAGCCGAGGCGGGAGGATCGCTTGAGCTCAGGAGTTCGAGACCAGCCTGAGCAAGAGCGACACCCCGTCTCTACTATAAATAGAAAGAAATTAGCTGGGCAACTAAAAATAATATGGAAAAAATTATCCAGTCATGGTGGCACATGCCTGCCGTCCCAGCTACCCGGGAGGCTGAGGCAGGAGGATCGCTTGAGCCCAGGAGTGTGAGGTGGCTGTGAGCTAGGCTGACGCCACGGCACTCCAGCCCAGGCAACAGAGCGAGACTCTATCTCAAAAATAAATAAATAAATAAAATAAAATGACTAATGGTTAATTTTGTTGTGTAAAGTTTACCTCAATAAAAAAAAAGAGAAAGAAAACCCATCATGCACAAATCTCAGCTAAAAGGCCCAAGCCCACTCTCTGGGCCTCGGTCTCCCCACCTGTGCGATGGGAACATCCGCTCCCGCTCTGCCGCCCTGGCCGGCTTTGCCCCATCGTCCCCACCGCCAGCCCCTCTTCCCTCACTCACCATCGTCTTCTTGTCGGCCTTCTGGACCAAGTAGCCCGTGATCTCACTGTTGCCGTCATCTCTGGGGGGCTGCCACTCCACCAGCGCGTTGGTGCCCCACACCTCCTTCACCCTCACGTTCACCGGCGGCCCTGCCTTTTCTGGAGGGGGGGTGTTGTAGGCCAGCCCGAGGGTCCCCGGATGCCGCCTGCCCCAGCCCAATCGCTCTCCCTCAGGGCTCCCCCATCTCTCCTCCCCTCACCTCCTCCCCGCCTCTCATCTCATCTCCTCCCTCCGCCCCCTCCCCGCCCAGGACACGCACCCACGACCCGGATGTGGATGGTGGCCGTGTCCTGCATGTTCTCGATCTGCACTTTCAGCTCATACTCCCCGGAGTCCGAGCGGGCCGCCTGGCGCACGAAGAATACGGTGTCGAAGTCGCTGGTCCGCACGTTCACGCGGGAGGTGTCCACGGGGGCCCCGCCCTTCGTCCACACCACCTGGGGCCGCGGCCTTCCCTGGGGGCAGACAGCAGGGGTGAGGCCGGTGGGGCAGAGGAGGCTTGCTGTGGATGAGCGTTGCCCCGACCCCTGATCCCAGCTCCCGTACCTGGAAGGGGATGACAAGGTTGAGAGCTTCTCCCACTTTGCGGACGTAAGTCTGGCGGAGATGGCGGGGCAGACGGATCTTGGGTGGCTCTGAGGGCACAAACACGGCGGGGGCTCAGCACTGGGCTGGGGGGCCATTCGCGGGACAAGAGACAAGGGCGATGAGGTTTTCTGGGGCCTACTGAATACAGGGAAAGGGCAGGCCGGATGACTCCTACCCGGCCTTGGGAAGAGCGGGGTCAGGGGACAGGGGTCACTCGCCTGCAATCTCCCGGATGGTGACCGGCTGGGCCAGGGTGGCCGGCTCGCTACGCCCCGCGATGTTGACCCCGACAACCCGGAAGAGGATTCTTGCTCCCGTGGGGAGATTCTTGACGGTGAAGCCACACCGCTCCGTGGGCTCGGTGTTAGCCGGGATCCATTCCTCGGCTAGAGGGAAGAGCTGGTGGATCCCGCCGCCTTTCCCCCGGCGCCCCGCACCCCCCGGCTCACTGTCCCCGGTGACTCAGGCCCCACCGCTATGAACACTGAGTACATCCTCAGCAGCTGTAGCAGAGCGGCCCACATTGGTTAAGCATTTATGACGGCCAGGCTGGAAGGGTGGCACATGTGTCAGCTCGTTAATTCTTGCCTCAACTTCAAGTTATCCCCATTTTAAGGATGAGGAAATTGAGGCCCAGAGAGGTTAAGAAACTTGCCAAGGTCACACAGCTCAGATGTGCTGGACTAGGAAGTTAAACCCAGACCTGTCTGACTCCAGAACACTCTTAAGCTCTGCCAAGGTTGCACAGAGGGACAGGGATGGTGGCTCTGTCCGAGGGCACAGCAGGAGGCAAGCGCCCAGGCACGTCCAGGAGGGTGCGTCGAGAGTGGCTGTCAGAGCTCAGCAGCTTGCCTGCCCTTCGTTACGTGACTTTCTGTCTGGGTTCACGGCCATGGGCTGGTGAACCAACGTGGGTCAGCCCAGCAATCAGAGTGGGCTCTACGGTTCTGGAGCGCGAGGCTCCTCGGGGTATGGGGAGGGTCGGCCAGGGAGGGTCGGCGGGGAGAGCACTGGGACGGGGAAGAGGGAGGAGCCGACCAGGGCTCAGCCACCCATCGACTCCATGAACCGTCGGACGCAGCCGTCACTGCACCCTGCCAAGATGGGAACCGTCTTCGCCATCTTTCCATGAAGATACCGAGGCCCTGACGCTTGCCCGAGGCCACACGGCGAGCAAGTGTAGGGCGGGACCCGGGATATGGCGTCGAGGTGATCCCGTCTGTCCTCCCAGGGAGATGACCGCGCTGGAGACACCCCCATAGCCACGTGCCAGGCCAGGCACACGGCGCCCAGCGAATGTGTGTATCTCTGGAGGGTGGCGGGGGATGGATAGGCAGGTGGGAAGACATTTGCAAGTTAGACGGACAGGTGGCTGGGTGGTCACACAGGTGGGTGGAAGAAGGAAGGAAGCAAAGATGGTGGTCAAGAGACAGACCGGATGAAAACAGTGCTATAGGAGGGATGGGTAGTTGCATGATCCGCTAGACTCCCGGATGAACAGACGGAGGGATGGTGGGATGGTGGGTAGGCAAGGAGATGGCAGGCGGCGGGGGGCGGGGGGGAAGATGGAGAAATACAGGAAAAAGGAAGGAGGGAGATATGGATGGATGGATGGATGGATGGGTGTTAAGAGGGATGGATGAGAGGCGGTTGGATGGGCAAAGGAACAGAAGGCAGGAAGAGGCACACAGACAGCAGATAAATGGCGGATGGGAGGACGGATGGATGGATGGATGAAAAGTCATAGCTGTAGGGAGGATGGATGCAGGGAAGGGAGGGAGGGAGAGAGGACAAGCTGGTCACTGGGGGTCTGGCTGGACCCATCCCATCCCGGGGACTTGCGCCAGCACAGCCACGACATGCAGGCAGCCCGCCGCGCCAGGTCTCTCTCCCTGCACCGCCCGAGTTCGGTTCCCCGGACAGGATGTCCAGTGGTGCTGCGTTGGCCGCCACCCGCCCCAGCCCGCCAGGGTCACTCACAGCCTTCCAGGCAGTACTCCACCAGGTACCCGTCGATGCCGCCGGCCCCGATCCTATTGGGAGGCCTCCACTTGAGGGTGGTGGTGGTGTCTGTCACGTCCTCCACCACCAGGTGCAGGGGTTCGCTCGTGGGGGCTGCAGGGGCCAGGCAGAGGACACGGGGGGAATTAGGGGGTCAGGAGCAGGAAGGGGCAGGGGTCAGAGGTAGTGTCACTGGTCAGGAAAGGGATCAGTATGGTGGGCCAAGGTCGACGACCCAGGAAATGTCACCAAGGGTCATTAAAGCAACTCAATAGCAACAGAGGACAGGGCAGGTGTTAGCCTGGCGGGCCAGAGGTCAGTGGTGGATGTATCGGGTCAGGGGACCGGATGATGGGTGGGGCTGGGGCCAGTGTGCTGGGGTGTTGGATGGGAGGGATCAAAAGTCAGTGGTCTGTGGGGTCAAAGGCCAGGGTGTAGGGTCAGAGGTCAATGACGGGCAGAGTGTGGGTCAGAGGCTGATGGGGGTGGATGGGTCAGAGTGAGGGGTCTGGGGGTGTTACCGATAGGCATAAAGGGCTTGGTGTTCATGCTGGGCTGGGACACTCCGATGGCATTGACAGCGAAGACCCGCATCTCATAGAGGATGCCCTCGATCATCTTGGTGGACTCATAGGTCGTCTCCTTAAACACCTCAAAGTTCAGCTTCATCCAGCGCTGAGAGCCCTTCTTCTTGCGCTCCAGGAGGTACCCTGGAGGCCCCCAGGCAGGGAGGAGTGGAGGTCACGGGAGGGCATGGGGCCACAGGTCAGCTGGGGCACTGAGGGTCGCACCTGAAGGATCACGTGACCCCGAGAGGTCTGGGGCCATGAATCTTGGGTTTGATCTCAGGGGCCACAGAGCACTCAGAGGCTATCAGTCCTGGGGTCAGGAATCGAGAGGGGTCACATGTCATGGGTCAGGGGCCACAGAAAACCCCAGGCTATTGGGGAGCAGAGGAGGATAGAGCAAGACCCAAGGGATGGTGAGGTGTCAGCGATGGAAAACGGGGTGTCAGAGGGAGGTCACTGAGGTGCTAACAGCTCTGGGAGGTCAAGGAGAAAGTCAGAGGGCCGTGAGGGTCGGAGGTCATGAGGACAGAGGGCCACAGGCACTCACCGGTGACCGGCTGCCCCCCGTCGTACTTGGGTGGCTCCCAGACAAGGATGGCCCAATCCTCTCCCACTGAGGTGACGCGCACGGCCTCAGGGGGGTCTGGGACATCTGTGGGCCGATGGAAACCGTCAGCCGGGCCCTCGTGGCCTCGGGCCCCCTTGCTCCGTCACCTCAGCCCTCTCTGCTCACCCACAACCCGCAGGAAGATGGTGGCCACGTCCTCGCCGACGGGGTTGGTGACCTTGATGGTGTACTGGCCCTCGTCCGCCCGCTCCGCACTCTCGATCACGAAGCTGCTGCACCCCACTCGCTTCTCGACGCGGGTCCTGCCCTCGGTGGCCGAGAATACCTGGACACCACCACCACATGGCTTAGCCTGCCTCCGCCACTCCCCTGGCCCAGGCCCCGCAGTGGCTCCCCATCGCCACACGACACACGTGCCCCGGACTCAGCCCAAGAGGCCCTTTCGGGTCTACCACAAGCCTCGTTGTTCCTCTCCGCTGCCCTCCTTGCCCTCCAAACACGAGCCTTTATTAAACACACTGCACTGTCTCGTCCCTGCGATTTTGCAGGGCTGTCCCTGTGCGTGCAATGCTGAGCTCTTACGCATCCTTCAGGGCCCACCCAAAAGCTGCCGCTTTCAGGAAGCATTCCTGGCTTGGATGCCCCCAGCAGGAAGTGATGGCTCCATCCCCCAGATTCTCACAGCTTCTGAACCTCCCTCTATCTCAGCCCCGAGCGCCCTAGACTGTGACCGTGGGCAGGTGTCTGCCTCTCCCGAGGCTGCTGCGGGGCAGGAGCTGCATCTGACTCAGGGCTGCGTCCTGGGAGCTTATACCCAGCCTGGCACGGGGGGAACCTTGGGGACGCCTGCCGAGTGAGTGCATGAGAGACTGACTCAAGTTTGTGCATTTCACAGAAGAGGAAGCTGAAGCGTCCCAGGGTCTGTAACATACAAGGTTAAAATACTTGTTGGATCGCTGGATGGTGGGTGGATATGGGAATATACAGAGAGACGGGCAGATGCATTTCTGGATGGGTAGATAACTGGATTGCTTGCTGGATAAACGGACAAATGGATTAATCAGTGGATGAGTGGATGGCTGAGTGAATTAGTCAATTAGCTGATGAATGAAAAGATGCATGGATGAACGGATGAGTTGCCAGATGGCTGGAAGGCTAGATTGGTCAATCGGCTGATTAATTAACTGACGGATGGGGGATGGAACACCCACCGTGTGCTAGGCCCGTACCTGTGGCCGACAAATATAATCTCCAGTCTTCAAAACAACCTTATAAAGAAGGAATCATCATCCTCATTTTATAGAGGATGAAATTGCGGCTCAGAGAGGGCAAGCAACTTGCCTAAAGTCACCCAGCAGCACGGAGGGGAAGAGGAACTCGGCAGAGGGGAAGCCCCAGCCTACCTTATCTCCCTTCAGCCAGGTGGCAACGGGAGGGGGCTCCCCTGTGATGGCCACGTCCATCCTCAGCTTGTTTCCAGCCACAACCACAATCGAATTCTCTGAGGTCTTCCCCGAGCAGTCCAGGCGGATCTTTGGTGGCTCTGGTGGCACAGAACGGTGACTGGGGAACTGAGGGGTGTGGGCAGCGGGGCCTTCCCAACCCCCACTAGAGGATCTCCCAGGGAGCTGGGTTCCAACGCCAATAGAGACCCCAGGGTCCGGGCCCGCAGCCCTTCCTGCCCGCGCCCCAGGGGCCCCAGCTCCCAGACAGCCCCGTGGCTCACCTTGCTGGGGTGTGTACTCCACTTTGATTTCTGGAAGGCAAAGGAAACTGGACAGTTAGGTCTATACCCAGCAGGCCCGTCACAGCCCAGAGGCAGAGGCGAGGGCTGGTGGCGTCCCCAGGAACTAGGGTGCCGCGGGCAAGGCTCAGGCCCATGAACCACCCCTGACCCCTCGTGGACGCTCCGGCGTGCACAACGCCCTCCCTCCATTTTCCGCCTCCACCCAGGAGCTCGACAGACGCTTGCTGTCATCCTCCGTGTACAATCAGGGAAACTTAATCCTGAAGGGGGGCGCCCAGGGCCCTGGGCCTGGGAGGGCGGGTGCTACAGCGCACGGCGGGGACGAAGGGGCGTTTTCACCTAGGAAGTTGAGCTTGGCAGAGAGTGACAGGGCGTAGCCATCAGGCACGAATGTGTAGTCGCCCTCATCCTCGGGCCGGACGTCATCGATCACCAGCTTGTGGAACCTAAGGGGTCGGGCAGCAGGGTGGGGGTCAGCCCAAGTAGCCCTGGGGCCACCACAGAGCCGGACTGCCCCCATCTGCTTCCCTTAATGCCACCTCGAGAAGCACACTCCTCAATGCGATCTATTCATACATGCCCACCATTTTTATTCCGGGCTTTGGAATGCTATGGCCTATGTTCGGATCCCACTTAGTAGCTGTGTGACCTTGGGCAAGTTACTTAACCTCTCCGTGCCTCCATTTCTCATCTACAAAACATGGGTTATGATACCAATCTACATCAAGATCGTGGTAAAGCATCTGGAAAGTACCCGGCACACAGTAAGTGCCCTGTGAGCGTCAGGATGCGTCATCATCCTCATTGACACACGAGCGGCACGATCCTTCCAAGAACACAGGGAGGGCTCTCGTCCCCCCAGGAGCGACGGCCTGGAAACCACGAGGATTCTGCATGTCCCGGTGGCTCCTCGCACTCCGCAGATAGCCGATTATTTATCTTGGGTGCCCATGTGCCGCCTGTTGAATTCCAGCCTCTTGTTTTTCTGGCTGGGCCCCCGTGTAGACTGTTGACGATATGGCCGGAGCTGTTCCCCTCCCTGTGTCTGCGCCCGTGTAGTGAGACCCTACGGCGCCCCCGCTCCTCCACCGAGGCCTGGCGTCTGTTCCCCAGCCCTTGATTCCGGGCTGGCCTGTGACTTTGCCCAGTAGAATACGGCGGAAGTGACACTGGGACTGTTCCCAGCCTAGGCCACAGCGACCGTGTTCACTGCCAGCCTGCTGGAGGACGAGCTGCCAGACAGACCAGCCCAGGCATCCCAGCCGAGGTCCTGCCAGAGCCCAGGCGCGGGCAGCAGGGCCAACGTTCGGCCGACCGCAGAGGCACGAGGGAGGCCGTCCTCGCCCACCCAGCCCTGAACAACCCGCAGACTCAAATCAGGCCTTGTTTTTTGAGACCACTAAGTCTGGTGGCGCTTTGTCACGCAGCTATAGCTAACTGATACACACACGCCACCAGCCCCCGCCACCTCCACAGCCCACTCCTCACCTCCCCACGTGGGAGATGGTGATCCTCTTGCTGGGCCGCACCTCGATCCCGTTCTTGTACCACTTGCCCGTCACCTTCTCGTCAGACACCTCGCACTTGAACACGGCCTGTTCCGCGGCCTTCACCGTCAGGTCAGCGATGTCCTGCAGGACCTCCAGCTGTTTCTCTGGGCGGGGAGGGAAGGAGATGGGGCCGTCACTACTCCGGTCGGTCCACAAGTGCTTGTGAGCACCCACCGCGTGCCAGGTGCTGTTCTGGGCACTGGCAACACGGCCGTGGACAACCCAGAAACATCCCACTGGCCTTGGAGAGCTGATGCTCTAGCGGGGAGGCAGTGAAGAGGAAAGTCAACAAGACGGAGCAAGGGGGCCTGAGGGAGGAGGGAGAACCCATGGGAGGATGCCGAGGAGCCTCCCAGGACCAGCGAGCAGCTGTGCAAAGACCCTGGGGCACGGCAGGCTTGCTGGAACCAAGAGCCACAGGAGGTGACTCATGCCTGTAATCCTAGCACTCTGGGAGGCTGAGGCAGGAGGATCGCTCGAGGTCAGGAGTTCAAGACCAGCCTCAGCAAGCTCAAGAACCCATCTCTACTAAAAATAGAAAGAAATTAGCTGGAC